GCGATACTTAAAATTACATCAAAGAATTTTTTTTTCTAAATTATCATTATTTTTATAAAAATCCGTTCTATGCGTGACATGTTAGGGTCTTGCATTTTGTGTTACAAGTTTCCAGAAAAGTGAGTCGACACACTCAACTTATCCAAATAAGTTGATATAATTAAGTGCCGTAGTGGTGTTACCCAGACATTTGCTCGAGGTAATTTATCTCAGTTCTCATGATTTTCGCACTAATAGTGCTAATAGTGCGAAAATCATGAGAACTGAGATAAATTACTGAAAATCAACATGTGAAAATCGTGTGTGACGTTGTTTTTTTTTGAACTTATGAAACAGATAAAATTCATACGATGCTGGATCAGTATAATATGACAGGCGATGTAGGATATAAATGTTTTTTAAGTTCATAACATAAATGTTATGAACTTTCAAATATTTATTTTATTGAGTCTGTTTGTTCACAAGCAACAATTTTTAATTTGTACGTGTAATTCAAAAGAGGTCGGGGACATTTTGAATATTATGAAGCGCTGTCAGGTCAGCCACCGACCGTAATCATTTATATGAAAATGTTCGAGAAATTCAAAACTTTATTCGAGAAAGCTGACGATTACACAAATAATATTTATTCGAGATGATGGAACTCTGTGAACTTTGAGTGGTTTCTGACAGTTTGTTCTCCCAAAGTATTATCAACTTGGTGTGACAAGTGTCCAACGTCATAAATACGGCACTATCTCTGGCACCCCGTCAAGAAATTTTTTAATTTAAAAAACGTTTCTGTCCTACTCGCCTGTCATATTATACTCATCCAGCATCGCATGAATTTTGTCTGTTTCCTAAGTTCAAAAAAAAGCAACGTCACACACGATTTTTACATATTGATTTTCTGTGTTTGTTTTATGGAATAGATATTTATTTTATTGTACGCACAAACATTTCGATGATCATTAGTAGTATGTGCTTTGTTGAATTATCTTTTCTTGTTATTTATTATTTACTTTATTACGATGATACGATTTCCCGATTACTTACCTTTTAACCTCTAAGATCCTCTATTATTCGATCAAGTACATTAAATTAAAAAAAAATCTATAGTCATCAACTTTATTTCATTAAATTTTTAAACACCCAATTGTACGTCACATAGTAGAAAGATCTCTTTAAAAAATAACTAACGCCTGAAAAACCAATCAGTGGTCAGTGTCAGCTCAGTGGCCAAAAAATTATGCCTTTGCAGTCAGGACACTGCAATGGGTAAATTTAATCTAAGAAAATGATATGTAAAACATAATAATATACTTTTAATTTATAAAAGATAGTACTAGTGTAGATAGGCACTCTTAATAACATAAACATGTCTTTTTTTTTTCTAAATTGCCATGTAAGTTTATGTCTTCATTAGAGGTCATTCGGTCTCAGTTACAATATATTTCTACGTTCTCATGCAAGTACTGTCTAGTTTTTAGTATTTACTTGTTACGTACAGAGAAGGTAACAAGTAAATACACCTTTAGCATTCTAATCTTTAATAAATCGAGTGCTCTACATGAAGGTAAAAAAGAAATGCCATTAAATATCGAACATCAATCGTTCTTTTCAAGTAGAGATGGTGAAAGCAACCACAGTGAGCAACTTCGTAAGTTAACGGGAAAATATTAATGATAATGAAGCAATATGGGAGAGACGTTGATTTAGAAGATCGATTGCAGACAGTGTGTCCATATAGAGCAAGAACCATTAAATGATCCATTAGGTTCATATTACTTATGCTGGATTTGCAAGTGATGAATGCATAATGAAAATATCGGGTCTAAGATATCAAAAGCGGAACAGTCTCGACTGAAGTAGGTCCATTAAAATATTTTAAATCAAAGTTTTGAGAACAAATGGTCGAGGAAAACACTGTAAGCTATGATTAAGAAATCGACCGATCTTCGAACCAAAGCCAAAAAAATAAAACCCGGATTAGATGTCTATCCCTATGTTTAACTTGACACAATCTAAAAGCAGACCACATCCCACACATCACCGCAGTCATGACCGAAAAACAGAATTGCTGTATGTTTCGAGGCTGTTCTAAAAAATTTAAAACTGAATAAATGTTCCAAATGTTGCAGTTGTCAATTATGCAGACAAACTGCGGCCTAAATACTTATACATATTTTTAAGTGAATATATTTTTAATATTATTTTGCAAATATGAGGGATATACCAAAATATTTTCTTCAGTAATTTTAAAATAGTAATAATAGTTGATGCAAAAATTTACATAACTTTCATTTCAAAAGTGAAATTATAGAATCTAATTAAAAAAGACACTAGACTTACTAGCTAGTTGCTATTAGGTTTTATATCTACAAAATAACTTTTTCCAAAGAGTGGTTTTTAGCTCCAAAGAGGTTAAAGTGTTTTTCTGCCATAAAGTAAAGTTACAGCCTATATATGTCCCACTGCTGAGCACAGGCCTCCCCTCATTTCTTAGAGGGTTCCCCTAATTTCTGCTATAAATATAACAACTAACAATAGAATTACAAACATACTAATTACTAATAAAAGTTGATTAAAAGTAATAAACTGCTTTTATTCAATAATCTCAGAGCGTACTCGCTCGAGGTCCAGGTCCTCATATACTCAGTCAAAAACATAAGGAAACACTTCAAGAAAAACCATCGGATGTTTTAAATTATTTTCGCCCTATAGGTACGTTTATGAAACATAAATATAAAAAATATTGAATTCTTGAAACAAAATTTTCCTCCGGGCTATTGAGGCCATTTAAACTATTAATACTAAATCAAATTATAAAGCTATTTGACGGCATCGCTTTTCTAGAAAACCCTTGCTTTATATGTATTATCTATAGTATTCCTTTATTGCGTACCGCCAGCCGCTATTTTACTTGGGGAAGGCTTTTTACGACCGAGGGACACCTTCCACAGCCAATTTAGTATCGCTTATTTACATCGTAATAGATAATATTGTTTACCTGCCTGCAACCTTCATAGTAGACTGCGAAGTGACAAATATACTAAAAATAATATTATGTATGTTATTAAATTATATATATATATATATATATATATATATATATATATATATATATATATATATATATAAATTATGAAAGTTCATGCCTAATATAGCACAATAAAGTTTTAAAACTTTTTCACAAAGCATTATAGTGATAAGTAAGTTTACAGATACCTACACTAAAATTAGAGAAACAAAAAAACGACCTACGTTTTAAAGCTTTTGCTTGAACTTGAACTTGGTATTCAGCTAAACTCTTACTCATCTAAAATTTTGGAAACGTGGGAACTCGGTTTTGCTTCCCGCCGGTACCAATGAAATTGTTAATTGCAATTTTAAGTCCTGAATTTACCACGAGCTCGGAGTTGGAGGAAAACATCATTGTATTGGAAACCCGCATTGAAGCGGTGCGGCGGACTAATTGCCCCATCAGAAATTTGAAGAGGTGTGTGTTTGGGACGTTATAAATTATTACTATACTATATTATTTATTTATAACCTCTGCTTAGTGTTAACGAAAATTAAATTCATCTTCATTACTTCTCAACGGCCTTCTCTAAGTAACAGACACCCATCCATATCTAAAAGGGACTTGGCCGGCTATGTTACTATCCTATAAAATATAGGATAGTGACAATATTTTTCACAACACCTGAGCACGTGGTAAATTAGCACTAAAATTGAAATCAACAATTCGATTGGTACTGGGGTATCCAAAGAGGGTTGCTCGCATAATGCAACGTAAATTAACTTAAAATTCTTGAACATAATAAGCTTCTGTAGACTTTTTTATTTATGAATATATTTTACACGGTCAAATTGTAATGTTATGAGAAAAGTGACTTTCGCGCCGCTTCTTACCACTAGGTGTCCCGCAAAAGGGATTAGTTGAAGCAATGGTGTTGCGTTCTTGACCTTCAAAAAGTGCCTTGTAAAGGCTTTTGTATCAAAATATTTTGAGTATTTCCTTATGTAAAATTTTACGGTGGGCGCTGAACTATTTTACAACCAGTTTTAATATCAAACTTTTATTATAAAATCTTAATTCACATTGTTCGAGAATTTGAATACGCAGTTGATTAAACGCCCCAAGTTGCTAGTGAAACGAAAAGTTCATAATTTATTCTCATTTACCTGACTTCAACCTCGAGGACACAGAATAATCAAGACAATTTAAACATAAGCCACAATTCTATCGTATTCAACCGTATAAAAAATAAATTATTTACCTAATTTCGTATGCAAACACATTATATAAATATTTTAATTGTATTCGTAGATTTTTTTTCATTCGTAGATTTAAGTAAAACTACTACAGCCTATAAATATTTGCAACTAACTTCAAATAAATTTGAGTTCAGTAATCTATCCTAATACTACTAGAGACTGCTATTTGGTGACATAAATATGATGATACCTACATAGTCGGACTTCTTGACAAAAGGGGAATCAAAGGAGGACAAGTATTTATCTAATTTTTATACGTACTATATTTTCTTGCATATTATACTATATATTTATTGGAATAGACTTAATGCATATAGGCGTAATTTAACGTATTCTAAAAATAATTTATCAGTATGTTTTCTTTGACCATTTGACTTTCGGGTAACCGCAGCCTTGCGTCCTTCTTAATTTATAAGTATTTTCTTTTTCATCAGCCTATAACAGTCCACTGTTGCACATGGGCCTCCATCGAAGTGAGGATGTGCCATAATCGCTACGTTTATGGAACATTGGCTTCAGTTCAGTTCCAGAATGTTTGCACCTTTGACACTGTTTCTCGTTGCTGGTGCGAGTATAACACATCTGGTATAAATACGAAATGATTACACCGCCGTCGACACATAGCTAACACAGCTCCTCATATATACACATAGTACACATATGTTTATCAGACTACTTTATATAAATTTTAAATAATTATGCTCACAAAGTCCACAGCGACGCTGCATGAAAACGGCGCATTAGTCCTCGTTGCTAAACACGCGTAGATGAGTCCGTAGTTGCAAGTCATTCTGGTGAAAATAGCACATTTATTTCATAATTTTCGAGAAATTTATCGGGTTATGACATAAAAACAATATTATTTCTTTATTTTTTACCTCCCGCTTTGAAAATCAATAATTGTCAAAAGAAGGAAGTTATAGATTTCGGTACGATTTTCATTTTCGGTCCAGTTTTTATCACATCTCCACGTTTTGTGGTCCTAGGAAGCTGTTCCAACTATTTCTGGCTGGATCTCTGGACGCGCGCGTAAGTGTGTGTGTGTGTGTGTGTGTGTGTGTGTGTGTGTGTGTGTGTGTGTGTGTGTGTGTGTGTGTGTGTGTGTGTGTGTGTGTGTGTGCGTGCGTGCGTGCGTGCGTGCGTGCGTGCGTGCGTGCGTGCGTGCGTGCGTGCGTGCGTGCGTGCGTGCGTGCGTGCGTGCGTGCGTGCGTGCGTGCGTGCGTGCGTGCGTGCGTGCGTGCGTGCGTGCGTGCGTGCGTGCGTGCGTGCGTGCGTGCGTGCGTGCGTGCGTGCGTGCGTGCGTGCGTGCGTGCGTGCGTGCGTGCGTGCGTGCGTGCGTGCGTGCGTGCGTGCGTGCGTGCGTGCGTGCGTGCGTGCGTGCGTGCGTGCGTGCGTGCGTGCGTGCGTGCGTGCGTGCGTGCGTGCGTGCGTGCGTGCGTGCGTGCGTGCGTGCGTGCGTGCGTGCGTGCGTGCGTGCGTGCGTGCGTGCGTGTGTGTGTGTGTGTGTGTGTATATGTTGTGTTTGTAAATAAAATTTCGTCGTACGATATCTTTAGAAAGAAGTAACTGATCGAAATGAGCGATACGGCATTCGAAAGTGATCATTGAGAAATCGACCTGATTAGATTTTGAAGTCAACCAGTCCAGCCTTTTAGTAATACCATAAGTAGCATAATGAATACCATAAGTAGTCACCAAAAGTCTAAGTAATATAAATAACTTTCAAAATATTTGACTAATCAACTTGAGACAGAAAAGACAGTTTTTGTACCTAAAAATAGCGTTGTTGCTGCCAAGTAAGATAAAATCAAGAGACGTGGTCCTTTACTGGTAGCCATATGAGGACGCTCAAAGTCGCTCACCGAGCTATGGAGAGTGCTATGCTCGAGGTTTCTTTGCGTGATAAACTTATAAATGAGGATATCCGCAGTAGAACCGGAGTGACCAACATAGCCCGACGGATTTGTAAGCTGAAGTGGCAATTTACTGACCATATAGCTTGAAGGACCGACTACCGATGGGGAAAAAAGGTTTTCGACTGGCAGCCTCGTACTGGTAGGCGAAGTAATGGGTGATCCACACTAGACGGAGTGACAACCTAGTAAGACATGCAGGAAGTCGATTAATGCAGGTGGTCAGGACCGTGCTTTGCGGCATTCCTTGTGGGGGGGCCTATGTACATTAGTGAGTTGTGCAGGGCTATAATGACGATAATGATGATGAATAAATTTTTAGTGTGTTAAATTTTTCCATTTAAGAAGATATATGTGTTCTATTCATATTTTTATTTTTATTCATGTATGAACTGTTTTTGGCAATTTTGGCAATGAACATGTGCATTGTTGTTTAAGCTAAGCATTCATACTTACAACAGAGAATACCTGACATCCATTTTATTTTAATTAATTATGATACCTTACGCAAGGTTGTTATTGATATTTATGTTGTTAAAATGTGAGAAAAAGTTTAGTTTCTGGGTGACTCTTTATTTAATTCTTTTTTTTTAATTCATGAACTAAATGGGTACTGTTAGCGAAAAAATTATTTTCATTCTATATTCTTTATATTGTTTGACTATTTACTTGTTTCTAAGCAATGCATTTGCATTCTCTGCAATTAATCATCATAAGAATGCATCTAGCGTGTCAATAAAAATATAATAAACTACCTGATAATATTTAATATAAAAGCTTATTATTATTTATGAAATCAGTTTTGGAGTTATTAATCACAAGATGTCGTTATTCTGTAGAAGAATTCTATATATAATATAGATAGATAAGAGATAAGAATTCTATATATTCTATAAACCAATATAAATAAATGATATTTTGAACTAGGCGTCAGCTAACAATATGTAAGGGAGTTTTTTTAATATTTATTTTATTTTTGGATATTATTTTTATTTTTTTATATAAAGTTTGATACAAGTTAATAATAAATGTGACATAAATACAGAAATAAATTAATGATAATTGGATATAACATTTATAATTTATGGTATATAATGATAGACGAATTAATTTTGTCAAGTATTTGAGCTATAATAATCATCTTTCATTGTTCATATCATGTCAATTTAATAATATTGAATAATTAATGTTGTTAAAATTCCGATAATATCGCTTTAGTTACTTGGCTCTTAATATTTGCGCACTACTATAGTAGAATATGTAGAATTAATTATACTTAAACACCATTGGTCAACCATATCTCTGTAAATATCATAACTCTGTAAATTCTAAAATTCAGTTCACAATGGAGTTAGAGGCAAACAATTCCTTAGCTTTTCTAGATGTGTTAGTAATTCGGAATCGTGATAACACCTTGAGCTATACTGTGTATAGAAAAAAGACCCATACAGATAGATATTTAAACGGTGATTCTCACCACCATCCTTCACAGTTAGCTACCGTGGGTAAATCTTTGTTTCAGAGAGCACGAGGTTTTGCATGACAACAAGCTTCGAGTCCCGCGCCTACGTCCTAGTGAACGAGTGAAGCCGGCCACAGTCGAGCGTGTACCTGCTGTACTGCCATATGTTAGAGGAGTCCCTGACAGGATTGGCTACATCTTGAAGCGCGCTTCCATCAAAACATACTTCAAGCCGCTGAAGAAGATTGGTCAGTTTTTACCATCGGTCAAGTGTAATGTCCCTCTGCAAGATGCAGGAGTGTACAAGCTTGATTGCGAATGTGGTCTCTCCTACATAGGACAAACTAAAAGATCAATAAAAACCCGCGTTAAAGAACATATAGCTGATGTGAAGAATCGACGCTCTGGGAAGTCTGCAGTCTGTGAACACGGACAGGATCGCCTCCGTCACTACATCAGATTTGATAGACCGCAAATCCTCGCTAAAGAACACCGATTCCTTCCAAGGATGATTCGCGAGGCTATTGAAATCAAAAAACATCCTAATTTCAATAGAGAAGATGGCTGGGTGCTGCCATCTGCTTGGGATCCTATAATAAATAAAATTAAATCCCAACCCAAGCATACAACTGCAAGACTTCAAGATACCATAAGTTCATACTGCATAGATCGGAACAAAAGTTAAATTTTAATCTATGGTAACCGCGGTTAACTATGACATATGGACGTTGAACATCTCAGTCCCGCCCGTGACCATGAGTGCTGTAAAGCGTTCGAAACGTCGGGTATTTAAAAAGTTAAATATACGCGATAAATTCCGTAAAAACTAGTATTATTTCAATGTGTAGTGTTCGCGTAAATATAAGAAATCATTATGATTATTATTATTTAGGGGTATCTATATAGTTTTCTCATCTGGTTGGGTGCTATAAATATATAATTATAAATGAAAATGAAAAGACAAATATACATAAATATCAATAACATAAAATAAATATAAAAGTACATAAATAAATAAAAGCCCAACCAGATGGAGGCCCTCGGCAGGGGAGACCAAACGGCCGAGGGTTAGGGGGGAAAGGGAAAGAAACCGGCGGACGATGCGGGCGGTATCGAGGAGCACCGCCTTCTGCATTTGAACCTGGAGCGGTCCGCCACGTAGTCCCAGCCGCCTCAGATGACCCGAGAGGCTGACTGGGATTAGCCCGTTTGCAGAGACGACTACAGGAATAATTTCGGTCGGCAGACCACCCCACATGTCGGTTACCTCGTGAGCCAGGTCCAGATATTTTGTTTGCTTGTCTGTTTCGGCTTTCATGAGGTTCTCGTCATACGGAATGGTAATGTCGACCAAAAATATCCTTGACTGTGCCCGGTCCATCAGCACAATATCAGGCTTATTCGCAAGAATAGTCCTGTCTGTGATGATGGCCCGGTCCCAATAGAGCCTGGCGCGATCATTTTCGAGCACGGCTTCCGGCAAGTACTTGTAATACGGCAATTTCCGATCCACGAGACCGTATTTCAGAGCGAGCTCCTGGTGTAGAATTCTGGCTACTAGGTTGTGCCTGTGCAAGTACTCAGAGTTAGAAAGCGCCGAACAACCGGAGATAACATGCCTAAGTGACTCACCGGGATGGCGACAAGCTCGACAGATGTCGACGGTGCCATCCTTTAGGATGTATCTCCGATAGTTGTTGGTCTTAATAACCTGATCCTGTATTGCACAGACAAAACCCTCGGTTTCCCCCGAAGAGATCACCAAAGCGTAGCCAGTGGAGGGAGGCTACTGTGTCTACGAAAGGCTCATGTAGAGCCTTGTAGAACCTCCCGTGGAGCTCCTTCTCCTTCCATACGGTCTCCCGGTCGGAAATGCTCTGTGTAATAGTGGAGACGAACTGTCCACTATTAACAGACTCCGAGTGGTTTTCTTTAAGGTGGAGAAATGAAACTACTGTTTATGTTTATGAATGTACTGTCGAATGGGATTCGGAATGGAATATCTTTTGCATCAACCTTGCCTATATTTATATGGCTGGCTCACTATTGATTTGCCAATGGTAACAATTAATATTTTGCCTAGCCAATTATATTGCTTATTTTATGACCAATGAAAACTATTTAAAATATACAATTATCTATGTTTCGTTTCCCGGCGTGAGACTTGTTTGTTGTTCACGAAGCTACGTCGCTGGACCGGGCTATATAAGACATGCAGATCGGTGCGCACGCGTAGTCGGCGGGCGGCGGCGGTGTGGAATACAGCTCCGGAACAGCAAGAGGAAACGAACTGCGGCGTTGAAGAAACGGCTCACCATTGGTCGACGGATACGTGACGATAGCGGCGTGTGAAGTCGGTGTGGCGCTGAATGATATTTGCGGCTGCTTCTTGTTTCTTTATAAGAACGTCAAATTA